TCGTCATCTTGGACGAAGGTCACTCCTTTCTTTGCTTCGGCTGTAGCAATCCGAGCTGAGCGTCTAATTCCAACTCGAGGAAGCTTGGAAGCCTTGGCTGGCCCAGCGAGGTTTCCATCTTTGGTATCCACTGCTGGTGCCGTTTCTTCAACTGTAGGGTTGTCTGGACTTGTGCTTGTTGGGATTCCTTGGAATCCCTCTTCTCCTTCTTCATCGGAGTCAATGTCTGTGGCATACTGTTTGGATGCCCTTGGTACTAGCCCTGGGGCGTTCCCATCCTCAGAATCTTCATCTGATTCCTTGGATTCCACTGAATCTTCGTCCGAAGAGTCTCCATAGACTTGGAGGTAGCTCTCATTTCCATTGACACCATCCACTCCTGCAGGCAAACCTACAGGTAAAAATTCCACAAAGTCACGGTTGTGAAAGATTAGTGGTTTCTTCCCCTCACCGTATGCCTTCTTTTCGACAGCATCAATGACTGAGCGAGGCATCGGCAGAATACGAACATGCTGGCGTGTGATCACCTCAAAGGTGACAAGATCCATCACACTGTGCCCTCCTTGGTGGTTGTCCATCAGGGGGCGGAGATAGATGCAATCTAATCGCCTGGGCTCCATGGAATTGAGCTTGTCTGGTTCGTTGGAAGCAAGACAATAGCTCCCAAAAGTGTACTGAATATCTTTGTAGCTTGTGGTCCGACCCTCCAAGATCTGCCTGGGAGGATACACTTTGGAGATTCCATCAAGCGCGGGGAAGAGGTTGAGTTTACAGTTAACATCGTACACCAATTCCACAATCAATAGTGTTGGTTGTTTTGATGATTTTGTTGTAGGATTGTAGGTTTTGGATTTTGTGTACCACCACACTCCTGTGCACTTGCTGTGATCAAATAGCAAGGGCATGGACTTGTAATGGTCTTGTTGTTACCTGCCTGGAGGCTGTGGTTGCCTCAGGTTTGCCTGCAATAAGGGAGGAAGTGCTGTGTATTAGTTGCACAATACACATTCCAAAAAAGTAGTAGTAGGAGGTGCTGTGGCTTGGATGCCACAATACACACTCCATGAAAGGGGAGGAGGTGTTGAGTAAACTCAATAAACAACTCCAAAGAAAATATTCAATGCTATGGGAGACACTCCTGTGTTTCCTGTAGCTCAGCATGGTTGTGGTAGCTCTCGCACCGGATGGCTAGCTACCATAGCTATCTGCATAGCATGCTGCTTGGATTCGCCGTAGAATCCTCTTGTTGCCGACGTACCGAGAGCTGGCTCGGTACGGTGCTGGAAAGATATGATACCTTTTTGCGAAAAGATAACTATTTCGGTTCAGTGATGCCTTGCTTTGATGGCCGCTGAACTGATTGTTCTTTGGAGTTCTGTGCCGCGCTGTTGCTCCCAGCGAGTTTTCCTCGCAAAAAGCAATGTCTTCTTCTGCCGACAATACCAGGACTGGCTGCTGATGGACAATGGCGGTGTTGTTCTTCGTAGTGGTAGCGACTGGCTAGAAGTAGCAGTCGCTGCCCGTATCGTCCTTCCGGTAGGCCATGGTAGCCCACGGTTGCTTTCAACCTAGCCCTTTCCGTCACTAGCACCTTTTCTTGGGCGTCGTGACCCGATGTGGCCTGGTATTCAGGTAATCCGATAGTCCTGGCATCAATGAACTCCGTTCCGACCAGGTCATACACTTGATCCACGTCGCTGTCGACCTTTCTCAAGTAGAAGTCAACTCTGTCATGGTCTCCTTGCTTTGGGAACAAGCCACGTTGGATGGTCTTGATGAATTGTAGCAATGGGAACTCTTTGGTTGAGCCTTGCATCACTATCAATCTGATCCTTTTGAGCAACTCAATGGGATCCAGCTTGACTGCATCCTCGTAGTCTCCTAGACCTCTAAGCTTGGACTTCATGGCGTCGGTACAATATGACACCTGGATGGTGGTTGCACCTGTCTTGAGAATGTTCTCATAGGATCCAGTCGACTTGTCATAGATGGATGACTTTGCCTTGTACTCGCTGAGTTCCAAACATCGTATCTTGGCATTTGGATCACAAGTGATGCTGAAGTGTAGGCTTGGTCGGTTGTTGGTTGGTGCCTGACTTGTCATGGTCTCAATGGCCAATGAAGCCAGTGCACATCATTCCACTCAGGTTTGATCCTTAGGTCCTGGACAATGTGTTCAGGGTCTCCTCAAAAGGATAATACCTGGTGTCAGCCTGTCCATTTGGTGGAAGAGGAACTGACGCTTGGAACTCTTGTTCTGGTTCCTGTAGCTGTTGCCTCTCCTTGAGGCTTCTTCCTGAGGAATTGAATCCCTACCCCCCCTAGAAGGGTATCTTCCTCCACCGCGACCACTCTTCCTTGGAATCTCATGTCTTGTCTTGGTGTGGTAATGCACTCTTGTGCTTGCTTGTTCCTTGGAACTAGCTTGTGTTCTTGTGTGGATACCTCCTGCAGGAAGGATCTCACGACGGGCACTACTCTTGTAGTTGCCTGTAAAAGCTTTTTGTTGGCTGGATAGCCTTCTTTTGGTCACTCGTGGTGTACCTGTTGGTGGCTGGATAGCCTCTGTCTTTGACAGCTCACGGAATTCCTGAGGAAACTCGTGGTATTGTTCACGTAGGACGTGATGGAGCCTTGGGTAGTAGCGAACTGCCTCTGATGGTCCTTTCGTTGCCTCTGCAAAGCTTGCAGATGGTCTTGGTATGCTTAGATGAGCGCACTGAGTGAGTTACAGTT